TGGCAAAAGTACAACAATAACAAAGAAACAGTCAATAACAAACGACAAAGTATACGCGCGCTAAAACGAGTCCAATAAACCCTCGACGAAGAAAAACTGACTCCGAATACTTAAGCTCGGACGATGGGGACTCGAGTTCCTTTGAATCAAGAAGGGGTTTCTACCGTGGAAACCTCCAAAACCGAATTCGTTTTAAGTGTAATGTACGAAGTGCTTGGGTTAAGGGAAATCAGATTGGAGGGGGTGCTTGGATGTTAGCAGACCCTGAAGGAAAAGTAAGATTGCATAGTAGAATAGCTTTTGAGGTTACTTGTAGTAAAGAAGATGCAAATTTTCAAAATCTCTTGTGGGCAATTCAAATTATGAGACATCATAGGTTAGAGAGAGTGGTGTTTGCTTGTGAAGATGTGGCTTTGGCTGGAGCAGTTAATAAGCCTATGAGATGGCATGCATATAAGTTTCAAGGGTCTCTTGTGAGGAAAGGTTTGGAAGGCTTCAAAGAGTGGGATTTAGAGGTAGAAAGAGGTGAAGCTTCTAGAGGAGTTATTCTCATTGTTCAGAGTGTTCCAAGAGATGATAGATCGTAATCATATGTGGAGATTTGAGCTCCTAGTTTGCTCAAGAACAAAAGAGGATGTGAGAATTTGTTTTTCTCTGGGTAAGTCTACGGTATTTTTGGAGGGTCTTGCTGGGCTGTGTTGGCTTTAATGTTTGGAAGAAAGAAAGTCCATTTTTGGTTAGATTGTAGTTGGGCTATGTAAATCAAAAACGTTTGGGATTTGAGTCTTTTATATCATATTTAAATTCAGATGAAAGAAAAAAAAAGGTGATGAAACAAAATCAATAACAATAGTTAATTTCTTTTGCCAAGTACAAATCGATAATTCTACCTTGATGTGGCTACATATCCATTAGGTTATAAATTGTTTATTTGGAAAATTGCATATATCTCCAACTTTACCAAATAGAATAATATATCTACTACTCTCAAATCATATTTTCACAATCACGCATAAAATTGGTTGTTAAAGTTTATGTACAATGTGTATGTAATAATATGAAATAATATCACGCATACATGATTATTGTTTGGGTTAAAGTAGTACCAACACATGTTAGTAATCAAATTATGAAATTATTCATCTAAATTAATGAGTTTTCTACGAGTCATGATTGCCACAACTTTTGAACTCTTCAATATCTATTATCTTCGAATAGGAAATCTTGTATATAATAATTTTATAAAAGTTCTTGTATATAGGCTTCGAATGGTGACAACGGTTTGGGCGGTGCGGGACAAGCGGTTTAAGAGGTGCGGTACGGAAAATAGCGGTTTAAGA